TCAAACTGCTTTCCAAAGCAGCTGCACCATTTTACACTCTGACCAGCAATGCGTCATAGTTCCGACTTCCCCAGATCAATACTTGCTATTGTCTACCCTTTTTTTTTTAATATTTTTTTAAAAAGATTTTATTTATTTGAGAGAGAGAGAATGAGAGACAGAGAGCACAAGAGGGAAGAGGGTCAGAGGGAGAAGCAGACTCCCCGCTGAGCAGGGAGCCCGACGCGGGACTCGATCCCGGGACTCCAGGATCATGACCTGAGCCGAAGGCAGTCGCTTAACCAACTGAGCCACCCAGGCGCCCTACCACTATTTTTTTTTTTAAGATTTTGTTTATTTATTTGACAGAGAGACACAGCGAGAGAGGGAACACAAGCAGGGGGAGTGGGAGAGGGAGAAGCAGGCTTCCCGCCGAGCAGGGAGCCCGATGCGGGGCTCGATCCCAGGACCCTGGGATCATGACCTGAGCCGAAGGCAGACGCTTAACGACTGAGCTCCCCAGGCGCCCCTTGTCTATCTTTTTTTATCAAAGCCATCCTAGTGGATATGAAGTGGTTTTAATTTGTATTCCCCTAATGACTAACGATATTGAGTATCTTCTCAAGTGCTTATTGGCCATTTGTACATCTTCTCTGAAGAAGTGTTTACTCAAATCCTTTGCCTCTTTTAAATTGGATTGTTTGTCATTTTGTTGTTGAATAGTAAGGGTTCTTGTTATATTTTGGATGCTAGACCCTTATCAAATAAATGATTTACAGATGTTTTCTCCAATTCTGTAGGCTGTGTTTTAAGACTTTAGTTCTGGACGTGTTGAATTTGAGATGTTTTATTAGACTATTAAATACTTAAGTCTGGTAGAGAGGTGAAGGCTAATAGATACAGAAGATAGAAGATATCTGTAAAGGGGTGCCTGGGTGGCTCAGTTGGTTAAGCAACTGCCTTCAGCTCAGGTCATGATCCCGGGGTCCTGGGATCGAGTCCCACATTGGGCTCCCAGCTCAGTGGGGAGCCTGCTTCTCCCTCTGACCCTCTCCCCTCTCATGCTGTTTCTCTCTCTCTCTCTCTCTCTCAAATAAATAAATAAATAAAATCTTTAAAAAAAAGAAGATATCTGTAAATAGATAAATAGATATACAGAACAATCAGCATATAGAAGAATGCTGTTTAAAATCATAAGACTACGTGCAATCCTCATCAAGACAGTAAGGATAGGGGCGCCTGGGGGGCTCAGTCAGTTAAGTGTCTGCCTTCAGCTCAGGTCATGATCCCAGGGTCCTGGGATCAAGCCCCGCATCGGGCTCCCGATCCTGCTTCTCCCTCTCCCTCTGCCCTTCTACCTGCTCGTACTCTCTCGTTCTGTCAAATAAACAAAATCTTAAAAAAAAAAAAAAAAAGACAATAAGCATAGAGGTAAGGAAAACATCAAGGCCTGAACCCTGGGTCACTGTAACATTCAGAAGCTGGAGAGGAGAAGAGCCATCAAAGGAGACTGGGGAGGGGCTGCTAGTGAGACAGGAGGCAACCAGGAGAGTGTGGGTTCCAGAAGCCTAGGGAGAAAGGCATGATCACCTGGGTTGGATGTTTCTGAGAGGTCAAGGAAAGTGAAGACCAAGCAATGATCATTGGGTTTAGCAACCAGGAGGTCACTGGTAACTTGACCAAGAGCAATTTCATTTTTTTTTAAAGATTTTACTTTTTTATTTATTTGAGAGAGAGAGTAGGGGAGGGGCAGAGGGAGAGGGAGAGAATCTTGAGTCGACTCCCCACTGAGTGTGGAGCCTGATGTGGGGCTCGATCCCACAACCCATGAGATCAGGACCTGAGCTGAAACCAAGAGTCTGATGCTCAACTGACGAGCCACAGAGGTGCCCCCCCCCTTTTTTTGAGAGTGAGAGTGAGTGAGCAGTGGGAGAGAGGCAGAGGGAAAGAGAATCTTAAGCAGACTCCATGCCCAGCACGCAACCCCACTTGGAGCCCCGCACAGAGTTCAATCTCATGACCCTGAGATCATGGCCTGAGCCCAAATCAAGAGTCAGCCACTTACCCACTGAGCCACTCCAGTGCCCTGACCAAGAGCAATTTCAGAGGAATGTTGAAGGAGAAAGCCTCATCAGAGCAGGTTCAAGAAAGAGTAGGAGAAGAGAAATGAGAGGGCAAGCATAGACCTCTCTTTCAAGGAGCTTTGCTACAAACCTAGGGTGGTAGATAGAGGGAGAAGTGAGGCCAAGAGTGGTTTTGTTTTGTTTTGTTTTCTTGTTTTGCTTTAAAAATGGGAGAATCAGCATTATGATTGTATCAGATGAGAATGATCTGGTGGGAGCCAAAAATTAATGATGCAGGACAGAGAGGGGAGAATTGCTGGAATAGTTCCTTGAGTAGGTGATAGGATGGGGCTGATCCCAAGTGGAAGGCTGGCCTTTGATGGGGCACAGACAGGTCATCTGTGGGAAGGAGCGGCAGTATGTGGGTGCAGACCTGGCTGGTGGGCAGAGAGCAAACAGAAGAAGAGAGCTCCCATGTTTTCAAGGGAAGGAGGAAGCATGTCTCTGACTGGGAATGAGGAGGAGGAGGAGGTGTTGGGGTTCAGGAAAGGGGACCTGGATGATAAGATATCTAGGGGAGAGACAGTGCACTAAGGAGAGTATGAGTGCAGCACTGCGGGGGTCGGGGGGCGGCGGAGGCGGTGAAGGTGAGGTCTGTATGCCCAGTTCAGATATCACTTCCTCCAGAAGGCCTTCTGACCCCCAGACCAGGTCATTCCCCTTGTTGTAAGTCTCATAGGCCCTGTGGTGCTTCTCTGATGCAGCTCTGATCACAACTGGAATGAACCATCAACTGTATTCTTTAGTTCTTTAATCCCTAGATCCCTCCAGAGACTGTAAACCCCTGAAGACGTGAGCAGAGGCTGTCTGTTCCAGCGCTGTGTCTCAGCATCTCGTTCCTCCTGCATAGTCGTGTCTCAGTACAAAAGTATTAAATAGTCGAACGAACGAATGAAATAATGAATATGAGAAAAGTCCCAGAAGTGGCATGCATGTTTTCTAGTCGACCTAGATTTCTTTTTTTTTTTAATTAATTAATTTATTTTTAGAGAGAGAGACAGAGAGTGCCCCAGTGCGAGCAGGGGGAGGCACAGAGGGAGAGGGAGAGAATCTCAAGCAGACTCCTCGCTGAGCGAGGAGCCCTCCCAGAGCTGGATCAGGACCCTGAGAGCATGACCTGAGCTGAAACCAAGAGTCCCAGCTCAACCGACTGAGCCATGCCTGCACCCCTAGTTGGCTTAGATTGCGGAAGCAGGCTCTGCCGCAGCCCTGGGTGATTATGGACCCCCGCCCCTCCCTCCCTCTTCACTTCCCCTTCACTTCCCCTTCACTCCCTCTCCCAGGGTCGGGCTTTGCGGATGCTGGGGCTTTAAGAGCCGGCAGAAACGGAGCCGGGTGCTGATTGGCGGTTTATTCTAACGCCGGAGGATGAGCTCATCCGCAGCCAATGGCCAGGCTGCACCCGGCCAGGCCCCTGCACCTGGCTGGAGGGCGCAAGGCGGCGGAGTGGTGCACGGTCTCCCGCACGAGGGGCGGTGGCGGAAGGGGTAGGTCCGGCCGCGCGGACAGAGCTCCTGGCTCGGGCAGGTACGGGGTTTGCCCGGCTCCTCCTCTGGGCTGCGGTCCTCCAGGCGAGGGCGGCCCCTCCTCCCACTCCCCTAGCTCCCCAACGCGCGGGGTGGCGCACCTTGCGTGCCGGGACTCGCGGGCTGGGCGTTCCGCTTCCCGGGTCCAGGCGCGGCCCCGCAGTCCTGCCCCGCGGGACCCAGCCCGGCGGAGTGGCCCGGGGGCCTGACTCGAGCAGCCCAGCCCCTCGGCCTTGGCGCCCGCCCGCCCCAACACAGGCCTCCGAGCTGCGGGTCCCGGGTGGCTGGGCCGAGCAAGGAGGGTGCGGCTTCCCTCCCTCCTTCCCTCCACCCCCTGGCCGCATCCTGGCCGGAGTTCAGCTCCCCGCTGGCCTGGGGAATGTGGGTTTCCCTCCCCGCCCCACTCCCCATCCTGTTCTATCTATTCCCTCTCTCCACAGAGGCAGAGGTGACCTAGTCTTGGAAGTTCAGGCCCTGCCCTTCTCAATGGGGCCTGCGAGAACACAGGTGCCACTGAGGCGGGGGGCGGAGGTGTAGGGGCAGTTCTGCGGGCCTCTCCAGAGCCCTTTCCTTTCCTGAAGCCACTGCTCTTATCCCCTTGACCACTTTTGTCACACACTGCTCAGGGAGCAGCTGCTGCTAGGTCCTTGGAGGCCACGTTGCCCCCTGGCTTACTCAGACGGAGCCTGGAGAGTGCCGCTGCCTCCCTGGGGCCGGTCGGCTCTGCCCTCCTTCCCCTACCTCCATCCAGAATCTGTCACTAGGCCATTTCATTTGCCCACAGGTTTAAGGCCAGGCCTTGTGCCTAACTCTCTGCCAGGCTCGGGGGGGGGGGGGGGGGATCCTCACTTGCTGACCTCCGCACCAAAGGAAATGAAATAAGGTGGGGGCGATCTCTCTTGTTCAGGGAAGTGCCATTGAGCTGAACCCTGAAGGATAAATGAGATTCCTGTAGGAGAAGTATGACCAGGAGAATAGGCAGGATGGAGGGAACAGTGTGAGGAACAGCCTTGGTGTGTGGCCAACATATGTTTACCATGTGCTAGACACCAGTTTGTCTGTGAGACCCCAGGAAGGCAGTTCCGCATCACAGATGTCCTCAGCTCCAGTGCTCAAGAAATACCTGTTGATGTGAATTTGAATTGAAAGGAAGAGCCCCGAGCATGTTATTATTCTATTATCACCATTTAGGAAAAGGTCTGGCCCCATAGAGGGATGTTACCCGCACTAGCTCTGATCCCTCCAGCCCTTGGAGGTATTAGTCTCCCAGTTTTCAGCAGAGGAAGCCAGGGTACAGATGGGCTGTTGTTCGCCACCGGGGCCTCCCCAGGGCATCTGTTGATTTCAGGTCACCACCACAGGGCAAGCAGCCATGAGTCTGGTGGCCTGCGAGTGCCCCCCGGGCCCTGGCCTGGAGCCTGAGCCTTGCTCCCGAGCACGGTCCCAGGCCCGCGTGTACCTGGAGCAGATTCGCAACCTGGTGGCTCCCGGGGCCCCTGACGTGACCAAACGCGACTACCTGGTGGATGCAGCCACGCAGATCCGGCTGGCCCTGGAGCGCGATGTCAGTGAGGACTACGAGGCAGCCTTCAACCACTACCAGAACGGCGTGGACGTGCTGCTGCGGGGTGTGCACGGTGAGGACCGGGCGGCCAGGGGCGGGAGCTGCTGGGGCAGGGCAGGCTTGGGGCTCCCCCCGTCCTCTCTCCATCTGTGCTGAGTGAGCAGGGCTCTAGGCTGGCGCTGCAGGCCCTGTGGCAAGGGCAGTAGTAATAGCTGGCCTGTGTGAGCGGTTCATGTATGCCGGACCCTGGTCTAAGGGCTTTACCTGTATTAACTCATTTGAACCTCACGGTAATGGAAACGACTATATACGTTGTTGATGTCATATATAGGAACTATTTTTATTCCTGTTTTCCAGATGCGAAAACTGAGGCACCAGGCAGTTAAATTACTTGCTTAAGTTTCCATAGGTCTCAGTGGCAGAGCTGAGGTTTGAACAGTTGGGCCTCCAGAGGCTGGGCGCTGACCCCGTACACTTGCCTGTCCCTGGAGCGGAGCGGGGCTCCTGCCCTGGGGCCTTGCATCACAAGGGGCGAGACTGATGAGTTTAATGATGGATAATTACCTCTCAGGTGGGAAGAGCAATGAGGAAGAACTGAGGGGAGAAAAGAGGGAAAGGGACACCAGGCTAGGCTAGGGTATTTTCTAGAAGTCAAAACGAAGGGCCATCTGGAGAGAGAGAGAGAGCAGCCTGTTTAAGGCAAAGTGGGGCATTGTGCCTGCAGGGGAGAGGCCAGGTGGAGACCCCTGAGGGCGGTGGGGGGGGTAGGAGTCAGTCCCTGCTTCACGCTTCCCCCCCCTCCCCCCCCGCCACAGAGCCCCCCCCAACGCTGGGGCTTCCGACTGCCCAGTGAATCCATTCCTCTTCCAATCCTGGTTCCCACTCCGGCCTTTTCACACTGGGCCTCAGAGAAGGCAGAGGGCTGTTCTCTGGGAGCTTCTGTCTCCTGCTCTGAAAACGGACCCCGGAATCCCCCTCTGTTCCTTCCCGGGGTGTGATGGCAGCCAGTGAGGTGGGGGGGGTGCCACCTGTGACCACCGTTCCCAGCCTCTCCCCCCATCTTCCTTCATCGGCAGCACCTGCCGGTCTCCCGCCCAGAGGAAGGCTGGGGCGTGCGGGGTGGGGGTGGGAGGAACAGTGGGGAGGGCCAGGGCACCATCTGCAGACCAGCCTCAGAAGCAGGCACTCTCCAGTGGAGGCAGAGGGTGGGCAGCAGGAGCCGGAGCCGGAGCCCCAGCCCCGCCACGGGGCCAGGGTAGGTCCTGGTGACCCCCTCACCCCACAGTCGACCCCAACAAGGAGCGATGCGAGGCTGTGAAGCTGAAAATTACCAAGTACCTGCGGCGGGCCGAGGAGATCTTCACCTGCCACCTGCAGAAGACCCTGGGCGGTGGGGCCGGCCCCGGCACGGTGAGGAGACCGCTCCCCAAAGGCCTGAGGGCTCTGAGCGGGGAGGAGAGAGTGAGGCCCCCCGCCCCCCACGGGCCAGAGGGCTGTCACCTCCTGTCCTGGGCTGTGTGCATGCCAGGGACAGGGCTGTCTCCCTGCCATTCTGCTGGCTCCCTCCATCTCCCACACCCAACTAGTTCCTTCATCTTCAAACCCTTAGCACATCATCTCCAGGCCAGTCTCACCCCCACACAGGGTAAACACACATACACCTCCAGACTCTCATGCACGGCTCATACGCAAGCCCCATGTGTACATACTCCAAGTTTCCCACGTCTGTTGAAGTTTGAATGGGTTGAAGTTTGGGTGAGCACAGTTGATCCTTGAACGGGTTTGAACCGTGTGGGTCCACTTATACTCAGAGTTTTTCGATAAATACACCACAGTGTTGGAAATGTATTTTCTCTTCTGCATCTCATTAGGCTGCTTTTCCCCAAAGCAGGTGCCTAAGCCACATGCTGGGTCTTCCAGGCATGTTCCCTGAGACCCGCATGTGCCTGGGTTATTTCCCCACCCCTGGGAGCACCTGCCTCCTATGGGTGGGGCTTTCAAGACAGGATCTGAAGCCTGAGGACTCCCCTGGGCCTTGGAGGAGGGCTGGCCAGGGGCGCCGAGTGTAGAGGGCAGTGTGGTCACCCGGGACCGGGGTGGGGCCCTGCCAGTCAGGGCCAGCTTGTCTGCTCCCTGTGAGGTGGGTGCTCCGTGGACCCCAGTTCTGCCCCTAGTACCCACTGCTGTCCTGGCAGCTGGGGAGGGCCCGGTGAGAAGGCAGTGCCTGAGGAGTGCTGGGCCCTGAGTCTGTGGGGTCTGTCTCCCACCTCTGCAGGGTTTCAGCAGCCTGAGGCTCCGGCCCATCCGCACACTGAGCTCTGCCCTGGAGCAGCTGAGGGGCTGCAAGGTGGTTGGGGTCATCGAGAAGGTGAGTGAGCTGACAGGCACGGTTTTGGTGCCGAAGGAGATGGGGCAGGCTGATGGGGGTGGTGGGTGGGGAGAAGGGGCTGGAAAGAGGTCAGTAGGCCCCAGGGGAGGAGAGCAGCTGTGTCCAGTGGCTCCCCAACCTTCTCCCAGCCCAGCACACATCAGTCAGGTCCTGGAGAGGAAAAGGGGAACAGAAGAGGCAAATGGTCCCTTTTCCATAGCCTGGAGCTCAGACAGCCAGCCACTCCCTCAGAGGCTCAAGACAGAAGCCGGAGAAGCAGTGCGCAGGGCGCCAAGCCAGCACACATGGCCCTACTCACTCCCCCTCCCGCTTCCCACAGGCCCCCACCCACCCTCCCTCTGCACCCCAGGGCTGTCTCCAAATACTGCTGAAGGAGTTCATGTGGTGCGATTGTACACTCCTCTCCAGAAGCCTGTCCTGCTGAGGGTCCCGGCCCCCAGAGGGGCCTCAGCGGCTCTGCCCATCCCCTCCTGCCCCCCACCCCCATCCTGACCCCATCTAAGGCCTTTTCTCTTAATGTGGGGCAGGCAGGGAGATAGGAACCGACATCCCAACCTGTACGTGGGACACTCCTCAGAGTGGGGGATCCAGAAGGACAGACAGTTGAGGCAAATGAGATCTGAGCCAATATTCGGTTGCCCTCTGCCCCAACCCAGGCCACACCTGAGTAGTTGCTAACGTGGGTCTTTCTCAAACTGGCTGTTCATCAGAATCACCTGGGGAGCTTCCTAAATAGGGATTCCTGGGTCCCACCCGGCCCGTGGAGTCAGAATTTACAGCGTTGAGCCCAGGCATCTGTAATTTAAACACTCATGGGGGATTTTGCCGGGCCCGTGGCTCACAGAGGACGCCTGCTGCATGCAGTGTGGCCACAGCAAACCCCTTCACCTTCCCGTTGGTTTCCTCATCTGTGAGCGGGGTAAGAATCCTCCCCCCCACAGGGGCATGTGGGAACTAAAATGAAATAACTTTTGGGAAAGGCCTGGCACACGCTGAAACATTTGATACGTGTTTGATGGCTCTAAATGCTAGTGACAAGGGCGGGCGGGGAGGCGTGCAGGCTTCCCGTCCAGCCGCGCTCCAGCTGCTTCCCCAGGTCCCTGGAACAGGCCCCAGTCTGTCAGCCAAGGCCCGGCCAGCTTCCATCTGCCTTCCCTCCAACTGCGCTCGTCTGTGCGGCCCCAGCCAAGCACAGCGGCTCCCACAGACCGGCCGGGAGGGGACTGCCACCACCTTTTCCTCACGTTGGGATCCCACTGAACCATGGAGAGGGGGGTTCCAGGTCCAACCAGTGTGGGTTACAGGGAGTTAGAGTGACATGACTTTGTTTTTTTAATTATAGGAGTTTGCAGAGCTTTGGGGATGCAAATGTATACCATGAGTTTTCCGAGAAGGAGGTCTGTGATAGAATTTCCCGAATTTGTTTGACCCCAGGACACGCATATGCAAAGCATTTTCAGAATCCAGGATTCTGAGGCCTGTGCGTATGGGAAGCACAAATTAAGGCCAAGCCCAACCATTCTGTTTTGAGATTCTTTCTTTCATTTTTTACCCTTTCTTGGGCATCCAGTTTACCTACTCCATCTCCCTCCTGAGATCCTGCTTCCCTTTCTTGTGTCATTTGCAAGTCGGGAACATCATCATCCCCAAATTAGGAGAGATGTTAGGGCCCCTGGGCCCAGGTCCCTGCAGCCAGGCGCTCCATTCCGCAGCCCTGCCCAGGCAGATCCTGGCGGGAGAGCAGCGCCTGGCCAGCAGCCCTCAAGGCCAGGGAGGGGCCAAGGGCCTGCTCAGGAAGCCTGGAGTGCCCCCAGAGATGCCCACTTGTTAGGTGAACCAGGCTGGGAGAGGGATCCCTAGGGGCAGGGAGAGGGGGTTGCTGGGAACTGCGAGGTGAGGGGGGCGGGGTCAGGGACTAGATAGGTCTCTGGCTAGAATACCCAGGGGTTTGTTCTCAGGGAGCATGGGGAGCCTGAGAGATATCACCACATGTTTGCTGAGCCTCATGTAGGAGCCAGAGATAGGGAAGAAAAAGGCCATCCAAGTTACTTCTTGTTTTTTTGGCTCAAACACACGGGTGTTTTTTAAAATTATCATTACTTACCAACGTTTGAAAATTGGCAGGTTTCATATAGAAGTCCAGATTTCCTGCTTCTGCAAAATTGGAAGATCTGGAAATGCTGGCTCACATCCTCACATGGCAGCAAGGAGTCGAGGGGTGGTGCTGTCAGTTTTAATGGGACACCAGTCCTCTGGTTTGTCCTTGTCCCTGCCCTGCCCCCTTGGTTCACATCCCAGGCCCCTGTGGGCCTTGGAGTTGGAGAATCTGGAAATTGTGGACTTGGTTGCTCCATGAGAGAGTCCTCCTGGGATTTTGATACTTTGGGCATTTTTAAAGAAAGGGTTAATGTGTTTCACCGAAGCTTTCATTGTTCCCTGTCCCAAGATCTCAGTGGGTATCTTAAAAAGAAAAAGAAAAAAAAAAATTCTCTCTATGAAAAGGTGAAGTAGGGACACCCAGAAATACCTTCTACCTTCCAAATGGCAACATTCACCTGACATGAGTAAGGCACATTCGCACTTGCGAAACTGTTGCATTAAACCCTCTCAGTTGCTCTGGGAAAAAAGCAGTAGCCTGTGCAGCCCCATCCATTAGTCATTAGCCACATAAGACTATTGAAGTTAAAATTAGTTAAAATTAAATATTCTGCTTCTCATTTGCCCAACCACGTTTCAAGGGCTTGTTGGCTTTTCATACGGTTAATAGCTTCTGTATTGGACAGTGCAGATATATATTTCATGTTCCAATGAACAGTGCTGCATTTTATTTTTTTTTAAGATTTATTTATTTATTAGAGAGAGAGAGAGCAGGGATGGGAGGAGGGACCCAAGCAGACTCCAAGCTGAGCACAGAGCCCGATACGGGGCTCGATCTCCCGACCCTGAGATCATGACCTGAACCAAAATCAAGAGTCGGATGCTCAACCGACTGAGCCACCCAGGCGCCTTGGACAGTGCTGCATTTTAATAATTGTCTTACAGAGAATGAAACAGAGGTTCATAAGGTCAAGTGACTAGTGCTCTGTCCCCCATAGCACTGAGCAAAAGAGGAGGGGGATTTTTTTGTTTGCTTACTTTAAGGGGAAAATGCCCCCTCTGCTGAGATATGAAAGAGAAAGGAGTTTAAAACTATATATATACGCACATATATATGTATATATATGTGTGTGTGTATGTGGGGGGGTGTATATATATATATTCCCCACTATCCTACTTAGCTCCAAGATAATTGCTATTAGTGTTTTGGTCTATTTCTTTCTAGATAGGTAGATGTGTGTGCGCACGAGTGTGTATTAAAAAATACATAAATATATATATATATTTAAACACACTTGTTCCAGCGTACTGATCAAGTTTTAAATCTGGCTTCCCCAGCCTTCACTGCTGGTTTTTTGGACTCTCTGAGAGGACCTTAGCCAGGACAAGGTGGTAGGGAATCCCAGTTGGCAAGGGACAGTGGGGAATTATCCAGGGTGTCAGTATTTGTGGGAAACTCGATTCTCTTACCCCAGAGTTTTCTTTCTTGCTTTTTCAAACATTGCACAAATTTGGTCAAGGAGCTGGGGCCAGGCTGGGTTCCATCGCTGCCTGTTGGAGGAGAGACCTCTGGCGGTCAGAAGGCAGGCATCACTGCTGCCTCCGGAAGGGCACTGACGGGGCGGGGCGGGGTGGGGGGAGCGGAGACCGAAGGGAGGGCAGGTGCCATGGTCACTTGGCTGTGCCCCCCTTGCAGTTAGGTCTCCAGGGCTCTGGGATCATCCCTGCCTGGCTTCAAATCCCGCCTCTACCGCTTTTTAGCAGTGGGACTATAGGTAACATAACCTCTCTGAACCTCAGGTTCTTCATCAATAAAATGGGTCATTCATAACACTCACCTGGTAGGGCTGTGGGGCTAAAATTAAGTAATCTATATAAAGCATTTAGCCCAGAATAAGTGCTCTTAGCCAGCATGGGGCTTCCCTACGACAATGTCAGGAACAGTCACTGCAGATTGTCAAGGGAGGGCATGTGGCATGGCAGGCGCAGGCCACCGTTAAGACTCGTCTGCTGGCGGGGCGCCTGGGTGGCTCAGTTGGTTAAGCGACTGCCTTCGGCTCAGGTCATGATCCTGGAGTCCCGGGATCGGGTCCCGTGTCGGGCTCCCTGCTCAGCAGGGAGTCTGCTTCTCCCTCTGATCCTCTTCCCTCTCGTGCTCTCTCTCATTCTCTCTCTCTCAAATAAATAAATAAAATCTTAAAAAAAAAAAAAAAGACTTGTCTGCTGGAATGGGGTCGTCCTCCTGACCTAAAGCAGCTACTGCCGTCACCCCATTTTGCAGTTGAACAAGGTTCAGAGAGGCAGTGTGATGTGGCAAATGTGGCAACGGGTGTTCTCCTGGCCTTTATAGAAACAAAGGGCCTTTTTAAAAAAAGATTTTATTTATTTGACAGAAAACAAGCAGGGGGAGGGGCAGAGGAAGGGGAAGAAGCAGGCTCCCCGTGGAGCAGGGAGCCCCATATGGGGCTCAATCCCAGGACCCTGAGATCCTGACCCGAGCTGAAGGCAGACGCTTAACTGACTGAGCCACCCAGGCACCCATAAAGGGCCTATTTATGGCTTCAACAAACCAGTAATGAGGGAAGGTGGGCATTTGTAATGCCTGTTTGGTAGATGAGAAAATCAATTCACTTGCCCAAGATTTAAACCCAGTGCCCCTTTCCCACCCCAATCCTTGGATGCAGCCTTTGCCACTGCCTTGTGGCCTGGCTTGGAGCGGGGGGGTGGTCTGCAGGGCAGGCAGACAGCCAAGGAGTCACGACATCAGGGTGCTGGTCTTGCCCCCACATGCCCCTCACCTGGCCAAATCTTCTGCTTTCCTGCCCCAACATGCTCCTGCTCTCTCCTGTGGCTGGGGTCCACCCCTGCCCACCACAGAGATGAGTCAAGGGTCCAACTCCAAACAAGGCCCTGACCCAGCAATTGGCACGTTGCTGCCTTGGACCAAAAGCAATGGGAGAAGGGGGCTGCTCTCCAAAGATGCCTCCGGAGAGAAAGACTATTTAAAAAAGGGGAGGGGCAGGCAAGGGCAGGGACCCAAAGGAGCATGCCAAGCCTGTGTGTTTCGGGGCACGGCTCGGCCCATGGGTGACCTTGGGCTGTACTCACAAAGCCTCAGCTGCTTCACCTATAAGAGATCAGAAGAGGTGACTGGCTCTGAGGTCCCGCCCAGCCAGGACACCCTCAAACCCCGCAGGAGGGACCACGCACCATGCACGGATGAAGCGTCTCCGACATCCCTGCACTGTGCAGGACTCTGGGAATACAGAGCTGACAGGGGAGTCTCTGCCCTCATATTGCTCATAGCCGAGTGGGGAGACAGGTAATTAGACACGGTGATCAGGCTCCCTAAAGGTGAGCCCAGAGAGCACTGGAGACAGAGTAGGGGTCCCAGCCTGACCAGAGGGCTGGCACCAGAGCTAAAACTGACGAAGGGGGGGTAAGCAGGACAGGATTGATGTCAGCTCGTTGGGGGGCCAGGGGCACACACCGCACCACTACAGCCTGCCCTGGAGAGAGGAACCTGGGGAGCTGGGGCTCGGGCCCTGGAGCCCCAGGAACTAGCCTGTGCCTTGACTCGTGCCTCCTGGACCTCGGCAGGTGCAGCTAGTCCAGGACCCAGCGACCGGAGGGACCTTCGTGGTAAAGGCAGGTGCCACTTAGTCCCCTGTCATCCTGCATTCCCCCTGGGGCTTTCCTACCGCTCTTGGAACCCCTACCCTCTGGGGAACCTCCCACCCAGAACCTGTACCTGAAGCTCCCTCCAAATCTAAAAGCTGCTTGTTCTGCCCCTGAGCATGTCCCCCGCCTCCCAGACACACACACTGCCTCATCTTTGTTTTGGAGGGTGGAGGGCCTGGATTCTGTGGTGGGAGTAGGGGTGAGTGCCAGGTCAGGAACTGGGGGGAGGCAGTTGTTCTTTGGGGTGGGTTCTAACCCCTATCATCTGTTTGCCCCTAAAGCCAGGCTAGGACATCCCCTCGCAGGGCACCATCCGGTCTGTGCCCCGCTGACCTGCCTGTCCTCCCCCCAGAGCCTGTCCAGGTGTCACGTGGCGAACCGGGAGCGGCTGACCATCATCCCGCATGGCGTCCCCTACATGACAAAGCTGCTTCGCTACTTTGTGAGCGAGGATTCCATCTTCCTGCAGCTGGAGCATGTGCAAGGTGAGGGGGCCTCGGGGGTCCCCGTCAGCTCCTCAGGCCTTTGGCATGTCCTTTTTCATCCCCTTAAAATGCCAAGCACGAGGAGGGGGTACTTTGCACTAAATGTGCAGCGCCAAGCAGGAGACCCAGGTTTCCTCGGGTGGGGGGCAGGGCAGGATGGCGGGATCGGGCTGGGGCAGGCCTCTGGGTGGCGCCAGGCGGGGGGCAGGGGGCCGGGGACGTCTGGAGGAGGAGGTTCACATCCCGGGCTGTGAGGGCATTGATGCAAATGTCCCTGTTGTCACCACTTCTTCCAGTTTAGGCTCTTTTCATTTTTCTAGTCTGTGCCCATTCTTTGGTGTGGCCACATAGGATGGTGGTGCCTGCGGCTGTGAGGACAGCAGTGGGGCCGTGGAGCAGATATTTATTGATCACCCTATTACAGTGATTTTTTTTTTTAATGAGGGACACATCCTTGGGTCATAACATAAGAGTCATTGCAGGTCCATGCCTGGCCTTCTTCTATTTTACGTGCTTAAATTTCATTATACTGTTCTCCCTAAAAAGTAAAAAATAATATATTGAGCACGGCTGAACCTACCACCCAAACCATGGGCAGGAACAATAATTTACAACTCCCTTGGCGGTACGCACCCATTTTGCACCAGCTTGTGAGGCTGGGTCCCCTCTGGGTGGGTCAGAGGGAGAGCAGAGGGCACTCCGGGCTGAGGAGGAAGGGGCGCGGGTGAGATGTGGAGGACAGGGGGCTCATGCTGGATGGAGGGGAGGCAGGAGTTGGGGACGTGGTGTCCACGCTCTTCTCCCGTCCCCATGCTCACTGCTCCTCTGCATGGCCCAGGGGGCACGCTCTGGTCCCACCTGCTCTCCCAGGAGCAGCCCCAACAGTCTGGGGGCAGGTCTGGCTCCAGCCCAGAGAGGATGAAGGCTCCACTCAACTCACCCCTCAGCCTCCAGACCCCAGCACCACTCCCCCTGGGACCCACCTGCCTGCCGGACAGAATCCTTCGGGAGCTCCCACAGACTTCTCAGAGCCTTCCCCCAGCCAGGGAGGCCCCACCCATCACTCCCCAGAGAGAGGCTGAAGGTGACCCCTCCGCCAGGACCCATGCTTCCTGCCCCTCGGACCTTCTGAAGGCCCCGGGTGGCCGCCTGCCCCTCCAAGCCAGGCGGCGACCTGGCCAGAGCTTGGACGTGAGGCCCTCTTGGGGGCTCCCTTGGGTTCATCAGGGGGCTGTCCGGGTGCTGGGGGCCTGTGGCCAAGGCAGAAGTCCGAGCCGCCCCTTAGCAGATAGGGCCCGACCGGGGTCTGGCCGTGGCGCCTGGAGGGTGAAGGAAGAGCAGGTGAAGCAGTGGGCGGCTGAGACCCTGCTGGCCCTGGAGGCGCTGCACCAGCAGGGGGTGCTGTGCCGAGACCTCAATCCCCGGAACCTGCTCTTGGACCAGGCAGGTAGGTGCCCGGGAGGAGGGGGAATTAGGCTGCCCTCACCCCACCCCACCTCTCACATGGGGCCCCCAAAGCCTCCAGCCAGCAAAGGACAGGTCTCCGAAGTCCAGGGGGCCTCTGAGGTTATCTGCTGCCCCCTGCCTCTTCCCCTGGCCTCTTCACTCGGCACTCAGCGGCTGAGTTGGGTTGGCCAAGGTTGAGCCTGAGCCTGAGTCCAAGGCGGCAGCTCCTGGGAAAACCGGGTTGTTTCTGGGCCTTAGGGGACCAGGCCCTAGGGAGGCTCTGCCCAGTGCCTGTTGGGGGAAGCCCTGGAGTCTCCTCCCACCTGCTCCAGGATTACTAACCACAAGTTTTGTCCACCCTTTTTCCTCCCTGCACACACTGGCTGAGAAGGTCACATCCGGCTCACGTATTTCGGCCAGTGGGCAGAGGTGGAGCCCCACTACTGCAGGGAGGCCTTGGACAATCTCTACAGTGCCCCAGGCAAGAGCAGAGGAGGGGCCGGGGGGCCTGAGATCTTGGGTGCCTCTGTGGGTTGAGCCGTGGAGGCTAAGAATGACAGTGGGAAGGGGCCGGGTCTGGGTCAGAGAGGTAGAGTGGAAACCAGCCCTCTTGGGTGAGGCTGGGACATGTGTGTTCTTATTCCCACAGAGGTGGGTGGGATTTCTGAGCTGACGGAAGCCTGTGACTGGTGGAGCTTTGGGTCTCTGCTGTATGAAATGCTGACTGGAATCGTGAGTAGCTGGGCAGGGTGGGGAGCCCTGCTGGGTGTCACTGAGGGTAGGATGGGCTCAGCTCAGGCCAGCCAGCCAGGGTCGGGGCTGAGGCTACCTGGTTCTCTAAGACCTGGCTGTTCCCTTCCCCGCAGCTGCCCCCACAGGCCATGAGAGCCCTGGAAAGCCACTCCCACCCAGGTCCTGGACACACTGAGCAGCCCTGCCCCACTAGTGGCTATAGCTAGCAAGACTGTCGTCAACTTAGATAAAGGAGTTGAGCTGGGCTAGTCAGGGAAGGGTTCCAGAGGAGGACCCCTGCGTGGGTCTGGAGGGAGCGTGGAATTTGACACAACCCTTCTTCCCTGGAAGGCCACTGACTCTTCGCCCCCGCCCCAGCCGCTGCTCCCCACTGCTCATTCCCCCCACCCACGGCCATTGGGGCTGTAAGCTCCAGTTTTGGCTGAAGGACAGCGGCCTCTGCCCTCTGTGCCCCTGAGCTCCGCATCACACATGGGGCTGGTTAGGCCAGGCAGGCAGCAAGGGCAAGGCCAGACTAGTCAAGCAGGAGAGGACAGGAGCAGATGAAGTGGGGCCTGACGTCTGTCCTGGTGCCCTCTTGTTAGCCCCCAACAGCCCCAAGAGCGGGGTTCTCTCCTCTCGGCCTCCCACCGCTTCTCTAGCCCAGGGCCCCCGGCCTCCCTCCGCGTTGCGTCTTGCCACTCTGCCTGACCCCCGGAAGTCCTTTCTGTACTCCAGGGCTTTCTGTCGGGAGGCAAGTTCCAGTGCTGTTCCTGCCGGAGTGCCTGCCCTGATCGATGCTTCTGGCAGGCAGGCCTGGAGCCAGAGGGACCTGGGTTCCAACCCTGAACTCAGCATAAAAGTCCCTTTACCTCCTGAGCCTGCTTCTTGCCTTTAAAATGAAGATGCCAGAACTTACTTTGAGGGTGGTCGTGGAAACTACAGATAGGGGATGTCAGGCATCTTCCTGGCATGCAGTAGCTCCAAAGCGAAAGACAACCGTCGTCGTCATACCCATGGGACGTGACACAGGAGAAGGCAAATCCGGCTGACACGGGAGCGTGCACACATTGCTGGGGTTGCCCCCCTCCCTGTCTTCCCAGGCACTGTCGCAGAGCCACCCCTCAGGAATCCAGCCCCACACCCGGCTCCAGCTGCCCGAGTGGCTCAGTCGCCCAGCGGCCTCCCTGCTGACTGAGGTGAGCTACGGCTGGTCCAGAGGCGGCAGCTGCTTGACATGAGGGGGCTGCTGGGAAGGCAGAGCTCTGGCGTGAACAGCCCCACAGGGTGGACGTCTGATGTGGCTGCAGGGGGCTAATGGGAATAAATCTGTATATGCTGGTGGCTGAACACCATCTGTCCCCCAGGTACCACTGGGAGTTCTGTGGGCCGGGAGGCTGGGATTCCCCGCCCCGCCCCCCGCCCAAAAACCTCCAGGTCAGCGCAGGCCTCAGGGAAGGGGCGGGGAAGGCCTGCCAAGCCCCCCCCCCCCCCCCGCCCGGGACTTTTTCCACAGCTGCTGCAGTTTGATCCTGCCCGGCGCCTGGGTGCTGGAGGCGGCGGTGTCAACAAGCTCAAGGCCCACCCCTTTTTCAGTACTACCCAGTGGAGCAAACTGGTGGGGTAAGAGGGGGCAGAGTGGGTCATGGAAGCTGCTGGACTAGTCTGGATCTTCTCTCCCCTCTGCCGCCCAGACCTGGCCCGTCTAATCAGTGACCCTCAGGCAAAGAAGGCAGGGCAGGTGCCCTTCCTGCTCAGCGCCACCCTTGGGCACCATCGTAACCATCGCTACTGCCCAGAAGGGCCTGGGCATCCCCCAGCCAGCTCTGGAGACCCTTTCTGGTCACTGCTGAGGGGGAGGGACAGGGAGATCCCACCCAGCTGGGCAGCTCGGACCCCTCCGCCCATCCATCCTCCACCCGTCAGTCAACAGCTCCCTGTACCTTGACCGCAGACCTGCCAGGCCACAGGGTGCCTTCCGCAGCATGAGCTCTGAGCTCCTGCCCGCCTGCTGAATGGACGGCAAGGTTTCGTGACTCACGAGCGGCCATGTGCCCCACTGGGGACATCTCTGGAGACTCATCTCAGGATACTGGTCCACTGGCCCATTGGACCCAAACCAGGGCTGCCCTGCCTGCTCATCCTAGCCGTGCAGCTTGGCCTCTTCCCCCTCTCAGGCTATTCCTGCACGGGGTGGGAGGGTGGGGGACAGGATGATCCACTCCCCAACCTGTCCATGCCCTGTCTTATGACTTCAGACTGGAGAACAAAAGGCAGGCAGGAGAGAGAAATAAGGATAAGCATCAGGGGAGAGGGAGGAAGGCACAACTCTGGCACTTAGTGTCATTCTGAAAACAGAATAAAGAGCTCTCTTCCCCAGCTAGCCCACCAGTGTGGAAAGGGGAGCCTACCCCCTGGGCCTCCAGGCTGGAGCAACTACCACACTTTGTACCCATTACAATCCCTTCTCAGACATTTGTCCTATTTACCATTTTGCATTTTCGTCTTGAGGGTCCATTTAATTCACCGCCCACTGTGACTTCACAAAACACATGGAATGATTGCCTAAGCTTTTAGCCAGAAGCAAAATGTTTCTGGTCCCTGAAGAGCTGGGGTAAGTAGTTACCTCAAAGACAATCCCCTCCCCAGGTTTGGGGGGTCCTCTGATACCCCTCGGGGCTTACCCTGTCACTGGGGTGTGGGAAGGAAATTTCCTGGGAAGGAAATTTCCACCAGACCTCTGCCCCCAACTCCTTCCTTCCAGTGTCTCCAACACCACCAGGGGACGCCTCTGACCTCCAGTCTGGCTGTGAAGGTCCAACTCTAACTCTAGGGGTAGAGACCAGTCCTACAGAGGGCACATGGGGGGGAACACAGCCTGCGCCTGCTTTCCCTGGGCCTTGCCCATACCCCCCACCCCCCAATAAAGCCTGCCATTGCCTATGGTGTCCTTGCCTCCTGAATGCAACCAGAGCAGCCCTGCTGGAAGGGAGAGATTGGAAGGCTCCCCCCGAGAAGCCCCATGCTAGTCAAGAGTGAGCTTGGAGTCCCCTAGAAGGTAGGAAGCAGGGCTGGTGGTGAAGGGCATGTCAGCCTGTGCCCCGCAGAAAAGCTCTGAGAGGAAGGGACGGCATGTGGGGGGGGCTGGGAGCTGTGGGAAAGAGAGAAGTCCTAGAGGAGGGTCATGGTACCTGGGGGGGGAGGGGTGAGACAGGACACTAGTCCAATAATCCTCACAGTGACCCCGGAGATGGATGGTGGCTCCCATTAAAGACATGATAGGGCCCGGTGGAGCCTGTCCTCAAGTCTGTCCTTTTGCTATGCTAAGTCAGGCCGGGCTGCTTCCAACCACTGCCACACGGAGGGTGAGTTGCTTCTGAACTTCTGGGCCCCATCCGTGCAACAAACACCTGCACACCTGCTACTCTGCTGGGCCGTGAATACTGGTGTCCCAGCCTTTATGGGGCTAATAATACCTCCGTTGTAGGTTTCCTAGAGAGAGCTTCTAGCACCAAGCCCAGGACAGATTGAAGTTCTGCCTTTCCTTAAACCCATCTCTTCCCCTGCCCCACCTGCCCCATTAGCTCTAGTTCTGCCCTCTGGAGCCACTGCGTTCCTGTGACAGACCTTCACCAAGACATGGCATCCCTGCAGGCCCAACAGGTGGGGATGGTGTTTAAACTCAGAAGCCATATGCCTGTCACCCATAGTCTAGGTTAGCTCCCAACCTTGTCTGCCTCCCTCCCAGACCCCTGCTCCCAGGGGGTGATCTACCCTCATCAGTGCTTACTGACCTCAGGCACCCTTGTATACATGTGGCAATCAAGTCCAAAATGCAAAATTGTCTTAAGTTGCGCCCACCTCCTCAATCCATCCCAGAAATGCTCCAAGCCCCCACAGAAATGCTCGTCTGTTGGCGTCTGGGTCCCACCTTTTTGAAGCCACCACGAAGTCTCTTCAAGAGTGTGGCCTGTCAGGCTGCAGGGGCTCACCGGAAGGAAGCCAGGCACGTTCCTGGCATGCGGACGGCTAGGGTTCCACCTGCTGTCAAATCAGTACAGTGGTAACTTCAGAAATCTGGCATCTCACAGGCTAACTCCCGGGACATGCTGTGGCTTCCAGGGCTTGAGACAGTCACAGTGCTGGGGCTGTGCACCGTGGGAACTAAAAGGAACGCAGAAGCAGGAACCTTTTGAGAACATTTGCCCTTTAATTTGCATTTAAAATCAGTTTCTTTAAATATTTTAGGTACAAGTTCTGAATAGTGAAGACAGAGTAGATGCTGCAGGCACTCAGTATCGGCTCCCAACCCTTCCCCCACCCCACCCTCCAGGCCTTGCTTCTCCGCTCCAGATCCGAATGGGCACACGCACTAAGTCAGTGGCTCCTGGTGTCCAGTGTCAGCAGCCTCAGGCCTGGATGCAGTTGCATACAAAGCAATGAAGCCCAGCAGCTTTCATAACAAGATGTGTGTATTTAAACTTGCTCCAAGCAATTCCAATGATTGTGCCTAGACCCATCTGGCAACACCACCTCAGGAGACACTGCCCATTCTCTCCGCTGTATAGTAGCATCCTGGGGCTGGTTTCCACCAGAGTCCATCCTCCCTGACACCCCGCTCCCCCAAGGGCCACGATGCACAGAGAAACAGAGTCTGCCCCTTCAGTCCGAGTGCTTACGCCAATGGCATGTAAAAAGCTCAAATCAATCTGAGCCAGTCCACAGGAAGCCCCCTCACCCCAATCTCACCAGCCTCCAGCCCCTGTGACCATGCCCTGTCCCACTGCCATGATGTGCTAGAATCTGCTCTAAATGACAGCGATGTGCTAGAATGGTTCCAAGCAGCCCAGAAAGGTCGGCACAACCACGGCTGTGTGTTACTGTGCCAAAATGGAGCTGTGACTGAGAGGGTGGGCTCTGCTCCTGTCTTGTCTACAACATACCACCTTGGAGGGGACTCTGCCCCTGCCAACACTACCTCCCCCCCTCCCCCCCAGACCCCCCTGGCCTGTGCTTCCTGGACGAGGTAGAAGAGGCATCCTGAAGTCCATGGCAGCACACAATGAACTGTTATTTACGCAGCAAGCAGCACCTCTTGGCCTGCAGTCAGTACCTCCATACAGGAGCGATCAAGTGAGAGTGTTCACAGCCAGGCCAGGGGCTGCTGTAAGCTTGGGAGACACCACACCCTCCTAAGGAGGCTCTGGACAATAGACTTTCAAAAGATACAAACTTGATCACATGGTCCCCAGTGGTTTCCCTATAGAATACTGGCCCAGGAGAGAAGCAAAATCATCTCTGCAGAAGACGAATGGGAGAAAGGCAGGAATATTAATGAGCATCCACTAAGGCTCTCTCTCCCTCAAGCCTCAAGAAGATACTCGAGTGTAAGAGAAGGGTGCAGAGAGGGGAGAGCCTGGCAGAATACCAAGAAAAGACCTGTGGCTGCTGGTTACGTAGTGCCCTGGTTTCCTTGCTGGAGGCCAACAACATGTGCCTGGCACCAGGCTAGCCTGGAACCCATGAGGGGACAGGGAGAAGATTGGTGGTCAGTTCCTGCATGGTTGGTGTGTAGGGTATGTGGCTTCCTCCTAAAGGTCCAGTAGGAGGACTCTGGGATCCTCTACCGCTGCCTTGATTTTGCGGAGAAAAGTTACCGCCTCTCTGCCGTCGATCAGCCGATGATCATAGGTCAGTGCCACGTACATCATGGGCCGCACCTCCACCTACAGAGAGGAGAGGTTGACAGGTCTGTTTGCAGCAGAGGAAGCCCCACTGGAAGTGGGGAGATGAGAAAGCATAGCCCATAGAAAAGCTTCCAGTTGCAGAGCTTTTCCTATTGTTGTTGCTTCTGGAGCCTTCTATCTTCAAAGACCAAGGCTTACCCTGAGTGCAAAGCTCTCCCACTCAAGACAACTCAACCAAGAAAATAAAGAGTCTCTTCAAAAGCGCCTTTTAAAAAAACATTCTCGGGCGCCTGGGTGCTGAGTTGGTTAAGCTTCCAACTCTTGATTTTGGCTAAGGTCATGATCTCAGGGTCCTGGGATCAAGCTCCATAGCATCAGGCTCCGCACTTGTGGACACCCCCCCCCCAACCCCCCAGCTTGGGCACACATTCGAGTATATGCACTCTCAAATAAATCTTTAAAAAAAAAAAGAACACATTCTCTGCCCTTTCATTCATCTGTTGTCTAAAGGAAAAGTTTTCCCTTCAATCCTGGCAGCCCGAAGTTTCTTCTTTAGGGTTAGAATTTTAAAAAGTAACCAGAGATCCTCAAATTCTCTTAAGTTGTATGCAAAGTTAGGTGTATGAGCATTTTCAAGGGAGAAGACCTAGGATTTTTGGATTCACAAGACCTAGTGACCCAAAAATGTTCTAAACACAGGAGTCCCAGAAAATATTTTCCTACCAACATATCTTCTAGGGCCAGCTCAAGACCCTTTAACTTTATTCCCTGAACTCCCAGGGAACTGCTAAACCTTCATACAACCTGGGAGCTCATAGATCTTCATTGCTGTCCTGTTTCCCCGGGGCAAGGACCACGTTTCCAACTGTGTCCCCAATCCCGACAGCACCGAATGGAGCTTGATGACCCCTCCCGATGAAGGAGGAAGCCACCTCAACTCCACGGTCCTCACACTTTAATTTTTATCAGAAT